TTCAATGCAGACAAGTGCAGGGTACTGCATCCAGGGAGAAGGAACCAGCAGCATACCTATAGGCTGGGGAACACCCTTCTTGTAAGCACAGACATGGAAAGCGATCTTGGAGTCATTGTTGACTCCAGGTTGAACATGAGCTACCAATGTGAAGAAGCTGTCAGTAAGGCTAACCGTACCTTGCCATGCATCTACAGATGCATCACAAACAGGCACAGGGAAGTGATACTCCCCCTCTATGCAGCATTGGTCAGGCCGCAGTTGGAGTACTGCATTCAGTTTTGGGTGCCACACTTCAAGAGAAATGTGGCTAGCATTGAGAGGGTCCAGAGGAGGGCCACTCGCATGATCAGGGGACAGCAGGGCATGCCCTATGAGGAGAGACTAGAGGGCCTGAACTCATTCAGCCTCCACAAGAGAAGGCTGAGGGGGGATCTGGTGGCTGTCTACAAATTCACCAGGGGGAATCAGCAGGGAATAGGAGGTGCCCTGCTCCCCCAGGCACCACACGGGGTAACTAAGAATAACGGCCACAAGTTGATAGACAGCAGGTTCAGGCTAGACATTAGGAGGCATTTCTTTACTGGTTAGGGTGACTAGGACCTGGAACCAACTTCCAAGGGAAGTCGTGCTCGCTGGTACCTTGGGGGTCTTTAAGAGGAGGCTGGATAGACATCTGACTGGGGTCATATGACCCCAGGATCTGCTCCTGCCCAAGGCAGGGGGTTGAACTTGCTGATCTGTTTAGGTCCCTTCCAACCCTTGCTACTATTATACTATGATATATCTCCAACTGGTTTTTGAGAATGGCCTGTGGACTGTATCAAAAGCCTTTCTAAAATCCAAGTATACTATGCCCACTGTATCACTCCAACTTCACTCCTTGGAGGCTAGCTTCTTTTGGTAACACTTATGAAACACTTTTGAGTCATGCTTTGTCATCTGCAGGCAGTTTTTATTTTAAATATTTTAAAAAAATATTTAAAAAATATTAAGTAAAGCAGATAGATTTCCTATAGGATTTCTCAATTTGAAAGCAACCAAATGATGCTAGCACAGAAAAAAAACAGCTAAAAAGAAGCAAATTTGAAATGTGAGTATAAAGCATAGGTGTTTTTACTGTGCATAATGCAATAGTTAGCATAAGTATATCTAGCGTAATGAAGAAAAGCATGCTTACTGTCCAGACAGATGCACTTCATACCCAAGAAAAAATATAGCTGTAACACCTGTAGTTGAAGTAATACTATTTAGCTAAAAAATTACACTGAAAAGTCTCGCAGCATCAGGCTTCCTCACAAGATTTTTTATCCAGAACAGAAATATTGTGCAAATAACATTTTTTTAGAATATCTGTTCTTTCAGGAGGGAGGGAGTTCACTTCCGAATTCTGGTGTATTTGTCTGTGGGTACTATATGAGTGTGAGTGTTAACCTGAGTGTCCTGAACAAGGTTTTATACAGATAATTATAGTTTTCAACCTGGAATTTCCTTTTCAGTGGGATACAGTATTTTTCTTTGCTTCTTATCCTAAACTGTAATTTAACAATGTCGTGGGCTGTTAAACAGCCATCTTTCAGTTCAATAGATCTCTTTGGATCCCTTATCTGCTGTACTCCACAAGGATCTTGTAGTGTTTAATTAGGTAATATTTATAAATTTATTTTGTATCCCTGGATTAATCCATGCAAATTGTTTTGGTATTTTGGAGCTACAGAAGCACAAAGCATTATTAAAATATTTTATTATGGAATGTTGCCAGAGCACTGATTTTTGTTTGACAAGTCTTACTAGTGCTTTAAAAGGAATGCAGCTGCTGTTGTTCATCCACAAGTATTTTAAAATTAGATTTTTTTGTAAATGTGCATTTGAATAAAACATAATGCAACATTCAATGTAACACTAATAATATATTCTGTAATCCCCACTCATGTAAAGCAGTAGGTACTTACATGAATGGCCCTAATGAACAAAATGCAGCTACTTGCATGAGTAGGCATTCTCATTGTGAGTAACACAACAATGACAGCAGAATCTGGACTTAAACTGGAAAAATCAGTCAATGCAGCCTCTTTCATTGTGGAATTGTCCCTTGCATTCCTCTAATCTCATGTGTTTGGGTTTTTTCACTTCCCCACAGTCCAAGTTGTTTCTCCAAATACATACAGCTGCATCTTCTCCTATTTTACCTTATCCGCTGTCAAAGAACATCAGCAGTAGCTTTGGAAAATATTTAAATTTCCTAAACAAATCATCATAAACTGGAAGAAGGCTAAGGTGTTATGCACATTGTTAAAGATGCCAATACTTTTAATTTATCATTTGTGTTTTAATTTGGATTTACTAATTGAAAGAATAAGCAAACAACGTGCTCTTCTTCCTTATGTTTATGTGAATCGATGAACAGAAAAATGATTACGTAGGGACATTTTTACTGATTTTAAAATAGGTTTTACAATGACAAGTAATTATTTCTGTAGGTTTAACAATTAATCATATGTGTTCATATAGAGTAAGTAATTATAATATTGTCTAGATTTGCAATGGTATTATGGAACTTTGGTAGAAAATAGTGTTGTAAAATACATGGTATTTAAATAACTTGCCCATGTCCCCCTGGAAATCATGAGACATGAGGACAAAAGGCCTAGTAAAGCAAAGACAAGCAATACCTAGCGCAAGGTGTTTGCAGAGGAGACTTCAGCTCAGCAATTTGCTTTCTTGTCTGGTGTGACAGGCTCGGAGTGTATGAAGCTTCAGGGTCCAGGGCAAAGGGCACCCTCTTCTCTCAGGTTTAGCCAGAGGTGGGAAGATGTTTACATTTATCATTGCAGGGAGGAAGAGGGTGCAAGTCTTACTGGTCACATCAGATAAAATGGTACACACATCTTACTTCCCCATCTTATAATGTGACTGCAGCACAGGTTGCTTTGAAAGACATGGGGACAGGGAGAGTCTGTGTGAGGCTGACCAGTCAGAAAGCGATAGCAAGGGACTCTAAGAAGAGCTAATTTGTGGGGTGATAGCCATGATGGTCCAGGAATGATGCCAAAGACAGGGCTTTTTAGTGCAGTCTCTTTTATGCTACCAGCTATATAGTTAGGATAGAGTTATACAAGTGTGATGGACTTACCGATAACAGCCGGGCATGTCCGGGCCCAGAGAATCTCCAGTGTGCTTGGTGGAGCCTTTCCACCAATCAGATAATGACAGGGAGGGACTTGCCCTGCCCCTATGGGTGGTGAGGGGAGGCGGAGAGCCCCAGACCTGGTTTAAGCCTGCACTCTGCAAGTCCAGCAGAATTTAAGGGGGGGCAGAGCCTCCAAAGAATAAAAGGAGCTGCGTGCCCAGCACATGGCAGACGCATCTGGGGTTGGAGAAGGGAGTGGGGCAGAAGAGCTAGAAAGTGCTGCTCAACAGGCAAAGCCTGCGCCCAGAAGAGCCCCGAAGATTCCCCATGCCAGTCCGACACTCCGGTCCCAGCCAGTGTGCGGCACGGTGTACAAGGCCCAGACTCTGGGAGGTGCTCAAGGCAGCTCGGGTCTACAACCCCGGCAGGCAGCCAGGAGTACAGTGCACGGAGCCAGAAGCCTGGGTGGCCTGGGTCCCAATTCTCCTGGCAAGTGGCCAGGCTTTTCTGTGCATAGATGGTGCACAGTGGGTCTGAGGCCCTGGGAGCCTTTTGAGATGGCTCAATGTAGGCTTCACCGCACAGCAGGTCTCCAATGAGCCAAGACACTTGGAGCCATTTGAGGCGGCTGGGGTCTGCTGCTGCTGGCACGGGGCCAATGGCTTGGTGCAGATAACATTGCACAGAGGGTCCGGGAGCAGACTGAGCCCCGGTGCTGCACCAGGTGGCCCGGGCCTCCAACCCCTCTCAGAAGGTCGAGCTCTCTGGTGCAGGCATGGGTGCCCAGGGCCTGAGCAAGCAGCAGTCCATGGGGAGCCATTGGCCCCGGAGTCCTGGCAAGTGAGGAGCAATGGACCAAAGGGATGCCGTGATTTACCCAGGGAAAAGGGTTTTTTCTACAGGGCAGGGAACACCCCAGCCAGGCCCTCCCAGGTGAGCTATTTGGGGTGTGCATCCCTGCCAGGGCCCCAGGATCTGCCTGCGGCCCTGGGGTTTAAGGAGTTAAGTTTAGTCTGAGGCCAAAGCATCTTATATTGTGTGAGAGAGCGCCTTCCCTTTTGTAATATTGTGCTTTACATTTTGTGTACTTCTATACTTGTGTATTGGTAGTTTAACAGAGTCTGTAACCCTGCCTGGGGGATCCTCTGGGATGACCTGCTATCACTTACCTGTGTTTCCCTGTTACTTACCTGAAACCCCAGTGGTGTTGACCCATTGTAGAAAACAAGGTTTATAGTTTTATCTATATCTGAATATATACTGATAAATATATAGATCTGTACATATGGTTATATTTATGTTTCTCCATTTATGTAAGTAATAATACATTTGTACGTAGGTTAAGTTCCAGATTCTCCTGGCCTGGCTCCTTTGGGACAGACGAGTAGTGAGTAGTCTGCAGTTTGTGAGTAGTCTGCAGTTCCGTGCACAGCACCCCTGCCAGTTAGCAATCCCCTTCAATTGGAGAAGGGAGTACAAACCGTGTACACAAACTTTCAAATACAAGACATTCTTCCTCAGGCCGAAATCCCCAGGTAACAGGGAAGTGGGTGGACATAGGGCCTGTCTGTGCCAACAACTCCTCTCTTCCCAACAGGGTGATTGGGGGCTGATTCTACTCATGTCAGAGCAAGATGCCCTCCTCCTCACTAAACGTGTGCGCCCGTGCCTACGGTCAGATGCAGCCCTCCTCAGAGAGGGAGCGAGCCAGCACGTTTGACTCCCCACGTGCAACCGACTCCAGCACACGCCTCCCCACTCCTCACTTGTGCCTGGCGCAGCCCCGCCCCCCTGGGGCGCTCGGCGCGCGGTGACGTATAGGCGTGGGTGGGGGTGGGGAGCGCGCTTGTCCGCGCTCGAATGTTTTGGTCCCTCCTAGGCCATCATCCGGCTTTTTGCGGCCCTGTCATGGCGGAGGCCGGGGCCTCGTCCGAGAGGCTGCGCTATGTCGAGTACGGCGGCAGGGGCCGTGCAGGGGAGCCCGACCTGGACCGCGGGCTGGTGAGTGACGCACGGTCCTGCCCGGGCTCGGAGGGGCTTGGGCGTATCTCAGCCAGTGCTGGGGGCGGGCCGGACACAAGCGCGAGGGCCGGGGCGCAGCCGGTTCCCGACCGAAGGGGAGCTCCCGCCCGCGCCCCACTTCAGCCTGGGAAAAGCCACTCGTTTCACTGCGGGGCGGTGCTGCCCGGCCCGGCCCGGGGTACGGTCATTTCACCCCTTTTAGGATGTGCGATCAATAATAGTGCTCAGGATGTAGGATCGTTTTTGAGGCAGCATACACGAGACCCAGGTCAGTCTCTAAGAGAGTCTTAACCTACTTTGGGGCTTTTTTAAAAATTAGTGTGCTTCGTGTTCCAGGTCAAATCGGCTGCAGATCGTAGGGATGGAACAGTAGTCAACGGGCATTTTATACACAGACCTTTTTGTCCTGCAGCGGGCTGGATATCTGGTGGGTTGGAGCAGCCCTTATTACTCGTGTCTGCTCCGCACACAAGCTCACACGCATCGCGCTGCTTTGTGCAAGGTTGTATAAGTGGCGAAATGTGAGTCAGCACCCAGCCAGTGGCAGTGGCGTGCTTTTGAACTAAAACGTCTCTGATGTGTTTTAGTTCCACAGTGCGCCACCATCACTGTCAGCACTTTCCTGCTTGTACGACTGCACATGCCGCAGCTCTGGGGACTTTTAAAAGCGCCCAGGGCAGTGGCACAGCCATGTGTACAAATGCCCAGTGGTTCCAAAAATCATATTAGTTGAGCAGGCAGAACTCAGTTGTTCTAAACACCATGGGGGCTGTTCTCAATGATCTTCCCAGGTCTCTTCCAGCCCTAATGTCTGTAATGTCTATGAAACCATGTGTGGTACTACAACCAACCAGCATCCTCCATCCCAGGCTCTCACCTTGGGACTTCAGATGCTCCCAAATCCATTGGCAGGCATCCTCTGGAGGTCCCTTCTGGCCCTACTTCTCCAGGACTGTGACTAAGATGTGCTGAGAACCTGGGATATTCATAATAGTGCACTGGGCTGCATTAGTAGGAGCGTTGCCGGCAGGTCGAGGGAAGTGATTGTTCCCCTCTGTTTGGCACTGGTGAGGCCACATCTGGAGTACTCCATTGTTTTGGGCCCCGCTACAGAAAGGATGTGGACAAATTGGAGAGAGTCCAGCAGAGGGGAACAAAAATGATTCAGGGACTGGGGCACCTGACATCTGAGGAGGGGCTGAAGGAACTGGGCTTATTTAGTCTGCATAAGAGAAGACTCGGAGGAGAGCTTTTAACTACGTGGGGGAGGGGAAGGTTCCAAAGAGAATGGAGCTAGACTGGTCTCAGTGGTTACAGATGACAGAACAAGGAGCCATGGTCTCAAGTTCCAGCAAGGGACGTTTAGGTTAGATATTGGGAAAAAGTTTCTCACTAGGAGGGTAGGAAAGCACTGGAACAGGTTACCCAGAGAGGTGGTAGAATCTCCATCCTTGCAGATTTTTAAGACCCAGCTAGAAAAAGCCTTGACTGGGATGATCTAGTTGGGGATAGTCCTGCTTCAAGTAGGGGGTTGGGCTAGATGACCTCCTAAGGTCCCTTCCAACCCTCATTTCCTATGATTTCCAGGGTAGCAGGGCAGCCAGCGGTGCCTCCAGATCCCTATGAATGCCCCCACTCTATGCACTTATTTTGAAACTCTGACCTTCACTCCCATCCCTGTTTTACCTTATTTGTTCCAAGCAATCAGGGATGTGTTCTTAGTGGCCCCCTCATGAAGGGGACTGATAGCACTGCTTGGTGGGCTTTGGCCCAAGTTCTGGGATGGCACCTCAAAAGCCAGGCCCTTTGAAGAGTGGACAAGGTGCAGGAACCTAAGCAGAGAAAGACAGACCCTTCTTGAGTATGTCCCTGACCTCACCAGTCCCCCATGTCCACTGCCTGACCCCTCTGAAAGAAGGTCACCACTGTCATAGGTCAACCTGGTTTTGAACTTGGGTGCTATTCAATTCACAGAAGATACAGTGTGGGGAAGGAGTTCGTGTGGCTGGAGTCACGCTCATCCCTAGTTGTGTGTTTTTGGTCCCTCCTTGAACACCATGCAACCCAGGAGGGAGCCTTGAGGCCAGTGAGCCTGAAAAGGTAGAGAGCCACTGAAGTAAGCAGGTGTCAAGCTTAAAACAAGCCAAAGAAAGTTGTTGTTTTTTTTCACAAGCATGTCATTGAAGTGTGGAACTCATTGCCACCAGATATTGTGGCAGCTGCCAGTTTAGCCAAATTCAGGAAGGGATGGGACAAAATCTTGGAGAGATTCTTGGGGGGAAGTTGCTTCAATTGCTAGTGAGTGTGGTAGTTAGGGGTTCAGCCTCTGAATTAGAACTTTCTAGACCTATAAGCCCCCCTTGATGAGGGGGCTGCTAAGGGCACATCACTGATTGCTTGGAGCAACTAAAGGACGAAATAGGGATTGGAGCAAAAGTCAGCAGTTCAAAATGAGTGTGCGGAGGGGAGGACACCAAGCAGAGCACACCGGACAGTGCCCACTGGCCCTTAAATGCATCCAAGGAGCCAGTGGACTGTATGAAACAGGCCTGTTTGTTGTGCCACTTAGGCCATCATGGGAAACTGAACTTCCCTTAAGGGAGGCTACTGAGGACACATCAACTAAATATGTGGGACAACAAAAACAGGAATGAGAGTGAGGTCATAGGTTAATAATTAGGGCTTCGGAAGTGGACACCAAGCAGAGCACACCAGACAGTGCCCACTGACCCTCAAACTCATCCAAGGAGCCAGGATACTGGGCCAGATGACATAGGTCTATTTAATGTACCTTGACACGATCATGGGCTGTTGCCCATCACGGGAACTATAAGCCTCCCTGAATAAGGGAGGCCACTGGGGACACATCAACCGATTATGTGGGACAACAAAAAAGAAAACAGGAATGGGAGTGAGGTCATAGGTTAAAAAGTAGGTCATCGGAAGGGGACACCATATGGAACACATCGGTCAGCACCTACTGGCCCTCAAACGCATCCAAAGAGCCAGGATGCTGGGCCAGATGAACTTATGGTCTGACGCAGTAAGTGGCAGTTCTTATGTTCGAACATGCCCTCTCATCTTTTGCTCCTATCATTTTTTATTTATGGAGGGAATATATTTTCTTATAATAAAGAGGAGAATATTTTTTAAAATTACTTTTCAGTGAAAGAAGCAAGGATTTCTTAGGGTGATGGTTTTGTTGGACCAGGTTAATGTAACTTATTCATCCGTTGTTACAGGCTAAAATTAAATAAGCTTATTTTTCCCTACTCTTCATTTTGTGGTTTAGATAGTTTGAATGAACCTCACTGTTTGGTTGTTTTTTGTGTAAGCATAAGGCTTTGTACTGCCTGGCGGTGGTATCAGAAGTTCTTAGTGAACTTAACGGGCATGCTCACACCACCTGGCTTGTTGAGCCCACAAAATGAACCCCCACTTACTCCTACTAACTGCAAGACCAGGTGCTCAGTCTCAAGAGCCTAATTTTCTCCTGAAGTTTATTCCTTAACTAGAGTCCCCCCATCAGCTGAGATTCTGCATTTTTTCTTGGGCTTTGACCTGCACTATCAATGCCCTCCTGTCAAAGGGATACAGAAGTTGAAATGTAATCTTTAATGGAGCTGGAAATCAGGACCCTAAACTGTCAAGGAGCCATCAAGGACTTGAGTAATAGCTTAATATCCTTGTGAGTAGCTGCATTTTGTACCAGATGCAACCTGGGAACTTTTTTCATATTTAAAATTCAGATATACTAAAATGTGGTAGTCCAGCCTGGAGGTCACAATGTCTAGATCCTCATGGGGGAGCAGCTTCTTAGACAGTAAGAGGTTTTAGATGACTTTTAGACACGTTACCAGATCATCTAAGCTTCTAAATCTAGTGCTTTTTATATAGATGCTGAAAAGAAAAAGAGATAAAAAACAGTCCTATGGGACTCCATAGGTGAGGCCCTGCAGAGAGGAGGATGTAGTTTTCACCACTCTCAAGAGTGCTGTTGAAGAGGCTGTTGTAGGGCCGTGCTACCTACTTTTATTGTGTCATGTTGGTGGCTAGTGAGGCCTTGTAGGGTACTGTACCAGAGAGATCCAGCGTTCTGAATATTGTGTGTATGCCCCTTTAGGAGCCACCTCTGTAAACCCTGTTGTAAAGCATGCAGAATGTCATCTAGCTCCATGTTATTTCAAAATTTTAGAGTTACCATTGTCTCTAATTTTAGAGTTATCACTGGGTAATGATTTGGGAGTTATTTAAGGTTGGATGGGGACTTGAGGACAGAGCCAGTTTTTGACTTTTCAGGGAGTTTAACAGAGGTGCTTTCCAAGAAAGGTACTTTATCAATCAGCAGGGATCCTGGTTTTCTCTGATAAAAAAATTCTATTTTCAGGTAGAAAAAAGTAACCCAATATCCACATTTTTACATGATTTAAATGAAACACCACTATATATAGGTCTGTATATTAGTGGTATTTCACTTCAATCATGGAAAAATGTGGATTTTGGGTTACTTGGTCTGAAGATTGGAGGGGGTTATCAGAGAAAACTAGGATCCCTGTCAATCAGTTCCATTTGTTTTGGTGTGAAAGAGGCATACAAACATTAACAGTCTTTAAATAGGCAAGTGGGATTGTAAAACTACAAGAATTAGCATAGGAATTTAGAGGGTGCTTGAAATTATTTGTTTGCTTTTTGAAGCCTGTTGTATTCATAGGAATCTTAAATTGAGAAGAGACTTTCCCACCTCCCCCCATCATCAAGTAGGATCCTCTGCTGTCACAAGCACCCGCATCATATAATTCCACCCATAAATTTATCAATTTCTAAGTTAAATTAATTAGGTTGCTCACCCATCACTTCTTTGGAAAGCTCTTCTAGAAATTCTCTCCTCTGATGGTTAGAAACCTTCTGATGTCCAGCCTAAGTTCATTCATTCCAAGATGATGTTCTTTTAACTTTTTTTAATAATTCAAGAATAGAAT